AATATAGGATTATGACTTGTTCATGGATAACTTGCTAGGCCTACTGAGTAATTAAAATAACTAACAAATATAAGATTATGGCTTGTTCATGGATAATTGATATTTTGGTTCTTGTAAATGAGTTATGTATATTTAATAGAATTCTAATTTCTTCATGGAATGTATTTTGAGTTGATGTAATTAATCAAACTGTATCTTGTTCAAGGACAATATGCTGAGTTGTATTAGTAACTGTATCAATTAATTACTTGAGTCACTATAATAAGACTTGACCAGTTGTTTTTATTTTTGTACTTTCTCAAAATTCAAGGGATTTTATATATTGTGTGTCTTTTTCAAGACAGAAAAAAATGGACTTCACTGCATAACTAAATGGTATTAAAAGGTTAACTTTTTATGAAATGCAGTGTCATTACTCTATTCATTAACATTGCCAGAAAATTGTTTCACGGGGTTTGACTTAAGGTTTTTTATTAAAATCTTGATTCTACTCAATTTAGTTAATGTGGGAGTAGATTTGTTTATTTTTTTACTGGAATAATATTTGATGAGTACAGTTATAACTTTATTCCTTGTTGTCTGCTAGTGAAGGAAGCACGTTCACACCGGCTCATCACTTTACTGATTTCAAGTTCAAGATTTATGCTCCTGTTGCCTTTCGTTATTTTAGGGATCTTTTTGGGATTCAACCTGATGATTTTCTGGTAAGTTAATCTACACAGTTTTCATTACAACACATCATTAACTGTTCCAGCATGAGCTCGGTCCCTGGGACCAACCTCATAACCATTTTATGCTTGTTATAGTTTTCATGCTATAACTTTCAAGTTGGTAAGCATGTGATAACGACATTTGGCAGAATATCAGTAAACATTAAAATGCTTTCATATGCAAAATATCAAATTTGTTATTAAGTCTTAAGGTTTGTTAAGCAATGTTTTTCTCGTGCCTTTTTTTTCATTTCGCATGTTGGATAGGCAACATGCAAAGTAATTTTCATTTTAAGATTAAAAATACTTTTATGCATCAGAAAATTTTAATATTTCACATGCGAAATCTTCATAAGGTCCAGATAGTTATCAAATGTTTCTTAAGTTTTAGTAGACTAAACTTTTGTAAAATACAGTCAAATTTCCATTATTATACATTATATATGTACATAGATTATTACTATTTAGAAATAAGTTCTTAAACTTATATTTTTAAAACATGGAACAGCAAACAATTATCTCTTCTAGTTACGACCTTTGTACTCGGTTGCTG